CCACCACCACCACCACCACCACCACCACCACCACCACCACCACCACCACCACCACCTCCAAACCACCACACAACCACCACCACCACAGCCACCACCACCAAAACCAGCTCACCACCAACACCACCAATGCAACCACAATCTGCCACACCACCACCACCACCGCCACAACCACCACCACTACTGCCGGCAACACAACCCACCACCACCACCACAACCACCACAAACCACCTCACCACCACCACCACCACCGCCACTACCACCACCACCAGCACCCCCGCCGCCGCCGCCGCCAGCTGCCGCCGACGCCGGCGCTGGCCCGAGGAGAGGGACATAGGAAAAAAATGAAAAAGGGTGGGGGGGACGAACCCCGTCCCCCTTCCGTCATGGGAGCGGGGGGGGAGTTCGAACCCCGCCCCCCCCATCCATGGGGGGGGGTCCGGTTCCAACCCCCCCCCCTCCAAGCGACCACAAAACGCGCTCTTTGAGACGTCTGCTCAGTGCGACTGTTTGCAAAAATGCTGCCTCTGGGGAAGGCCCCACCCGCTCGAAACAGGCGCCCCAAATAGCCAAGATCTACTCCATTGGTGGGGGAAGGGGGTGCGAGGGCCCACGCCGATCGGCAAAACAACGAATAAAAAACTATCACCTGGGATGCTCTTTGTTTGTGTTGTTTCGGTCTGGCCCGCGTGCCGTACTCACGCAGCGAAGCGGCCCTGCTGCATCAGCGACCACCAGAGATGATGGGCTTTCATGTGCCCGAAGACGAATGCGACCTCCTTGCGTGGAGACAAGCCAAGCGCGAACATGAAGGGAGAAGGAGTCGGCGGCGAGCGAGGGGGGGAAGTGAGAAGGAGAAAACATCTTCAGAAAGCTCGGACGTCCTCTGGCCTTCTACAAAGTTTTCTAAGCTTTCCCGGAAAACACAAAGAAAACTCTCAGATGGCGCGAAGGCTTCTGAAAAGTCCCGCCGCCGTCTGAAAAAGCCTTCTCTTTCTCACTTCCCCCTCTCGCTCGCCGCCGATGGGCTTTAACTTGGCGGCGAGCGAGGGGGGTGAATTGAAAACGAAAAAGCCTTCTCAGAAGGCGGCGGGACTTCTCAGAAGCCCGTGCGCCTTCTGAGGGGTTTTCTGTCTCTTCGAGGAAGGCAACCTTCACAGAAGGCCCGGGGGACTGCCGACCCTTCTGTCAAGGCTTTTTCCTTCTCACTTCCCCTCGTTTTCGCCGCCGAAGGAGGACGAGGAGGACGGTGGTCATGCGGGACGGTGCGGTTTGCTGGGCTGCTGCGGGCGCCATTCATCGTCCTCTGTGTCTTCGTCCTCTTCCATATATCCTGCGTCTCTCCGCGCGGCGCGATGGTTCGGCTTGGTCCGGCCGGGTATGCTTGTCATGTACCCTGAAATCCGCCGATCGGGCGTGTGAATTTCAAAAACCCTCAGAACAGCCTGAGCGTCAATTCCTGAATTTCCGCTCCACTGGGGGGTGGGTGCTGGGGTCGATTTAATTCCCGGGGCGGAATCGGAACTCCAGCTCACTCCGGCACGGCCCCGTCGCCCAGGAGGGCCCCGACATGGGCCTAGAGGGTTCGAGTCGCCGAACGATAGCTACAGGGCGCCCAGGATGTCCCCAAAACTCCAAAAGCTTCCAAGATGCCCTCGGAAGCCCCGGAAAAAACCTCCCCAAGAATAGCAAAAAAAAACTGTCCCATTCCACAGGGGGAACGTACAATTTTAGCAGATTCGCCTTGTGGGCCTTCAGAACGTCAGGCGCCCCAATAGAGCCCCAAAGCGGCCCAAGAAACCGCCAACAGGTTTCCAAGACGGCCCAAAAAGGGCCCCAAATAGCCCAGGAGGCACCCGGAAAGGCCCAAGAGGGCACCAAGACCGGCCCAAGAGGCGCCTGAAAGGGCGCCAAATCGGCGGAAAAAGTGCCGAAGACGGCACAAAAAACCCCGCGCAGGCCCCCAGAGGCCCCCAGGAGGTCGGAAGGGGCCCCCAAACGCTTCCAACTGGCTCCGAAGAGGCCCCCTGGAACCCCCGAAAAAACCCCAAGAAAATCAAAACATGCATCCAAGGCGCCTTCTAGATGCCTCCATGACCCCCCCCGAGAAGCCCCAAACCAGCCCCCATGCCTCCAAAACGCTTACGTCCGAACACAACCGTCGCAATGCAAAAACTTATTCCGCGCCTTCACATATTCCCCCGTGTTCGGTGTCCTTTAACATCCATGATCTCACGAAGGCCCGCAGAGGTCCGCGCGAAGGCCCCATAGACCCCGACGCAGACAGCTCCAGCACGAAGCTTTCGAGAGAGTGCGCCAAATCGGCGAGGTGTCAACCCAAAGAGGGCCAACGCCTGGCCCAAAGTAGGCTTCCCAACAACCGCCGAACATCTCCAACAACCGGCGGAAATCTCCTCATCGTCGTCATGCTCCTCCTTTTCTCCTCCCCCTCTTCCACTTCCCGCTTCCTCCTCCTCCTCCCTGCCCACCCCCCTCCACCTCATCATGATCCTCGTCGTCCTCCTTCCTCCTCATCCTACTTCGTCGCCTCCATTCCCAATCCTCATCATCATCCTCACACCTCGCCGTCGTCGCCGGTCATGACCGCCATCGTGCGCTCCCTGCAGCAACGGAAGCGTCCCAGATCGGCGGCACTGGCCGGAGGCCACTACAATATATACTAGCACGCCAATGCACTTTTATTACTTGGCGGCGAGCGAGTTGGGGAAGCGAAAAGGAGAAGGCCTTCTCAGAAGGTGGCGGTACTTCTCAGAAACCCTTGCGCCTTCTGAGGGGTTTTCTGTGTCTTCAGGGAAGGCTTTAAACAACTTCTCAGAAGGCCCGCGGGACTGCCGACCCTTCAGATAAGGCTTTTCTCCTTCTCACTTCCTCCCTTCGCTTGCCGCCGACTGGTGGGTCTCCCGCTCAATATGTGGGCGAACACCTGCCATGGGACAGCTGTAAAACTACCTGCCGGTCGGAAAAAGCGGGTCGACACGTGACGTAGGAAGGCGCTGAAGTAGATTGGGCGTCTGCCCGCCCCCTGAAGAGGAAGGAAAAGGAAACACTCGATTATTGAAGCAGGAAGGCGCCTAAAGTGGATAGGGATCTGCCAAATCCAAACATACATACTTTTGACGACCGGCGTGTACGGGTCTCCCGCTCAATGTGGGAGAGCATCTGACATGGGACACCAGTAGAAATGCACAGACAGAGGATCCGCCCGTCCCGCATGCACATTTTCAGGAGGGACCCAGATTGATAAATGCTTGCCTGCACTTTCTAAATCTCAGGTGGCTGAGGATTCTCGAACGGGACTCAATGCCCAGTTCTCAACCTAATTCTGGGCTTTACAACATGCCATCACGTCTTTTGGGTGTCCAATGCAGAGACCGTAGATGAACTCTCGTCATGTGCATCTTTTGCTGGCACGTCATCCAACGATGCGAGCTGCATCGCTGGAAACAGAATAACCATTGAGGGGATGAGTGCAAAACATCTTGCACACAGAAGCAGGGAGGCCCACATGTGCAGGACAAGCAACCAAACCCGAACTGGTTCTTTGATCAGCCCGCCCCCCTCCCCACACGGATACACTGACGCGCATCATGCCACAAGCCGTGGACCTGCACTGTGCAGGGTAGGAGTGGGGCGTGATCACGTAGAGCGTGGCTCAACTACTTTGTTTTGTTTGTTTTTTCGCTGGCATGTGTTTCGACTGTGGCTTCTTCAATGCATCCGAGTCCCAGATCTTCTGAAGGCCCTTATGGTCCTTCACAAGTGCAACGTGCTATGTACGCGAAGATCTGGGCCAGCGGTCCCTGGCTGCGCGACCCGTCGTCTTCTGCACCATGATCGCAGAAGCCTCTCAATCGACGACTTCTCCGGATTGTGCAATCCTCGCCCTCAGCTCCGCGTCCTCTCGTGCACACGAGATGACCGCACAGAAAGACTCTAAGTAATCTCGCTGCGTCACCCGTGCGGCGTAGCCAGCCGACGCGGGCGACGCTTCTTTTTCCAAACGTTTCACGATGGGCACGCATGGTCCCTGCTTGATGCATACGAAATAATACCAAGCCAACATGTCTAACATAAACATGTCGATAGGAACGTCTACTCCAAGCTCTTACAAATAGGCCTTAGCATAGGCCTCTGTCAAACCATAATTATGTTCCTGCTCGAATCTTCGCAAATACTGGTACATATGCGCCACGTCCCAGCCGGCAGGACCCACGAAGCAGCCCTCGAAGTCGATGGCTCCGCCTTCGACCATTACATTTGCACCGTGGAAGTCCCCGTGTGCACCGACAACTTGCGCGAGGGGCCCGCTAGCAGGAAGCATCGTGTGGTCAAGGATGCATGCGGCCTCCCCGTTCAAGAAATCCTTGTCGCAACCAATTGACGTGGCATCCTCATCTCGGGAATATGCTATCAACTGGCGCAGACATGCTGGGAGAATGCCCTCGAGCGTGTCGAAGACATCGTCGAGGATGCCGTCCGGTGCGCGAGGAATGCAAGCCATATCGGCTGCCGCCTCGTCGGCAAACTTCGCGTGCCAACCCGTGCCCATCTTGTGCAGCTTAGCCGATAGCCGGCCGTACTTGACAACCAGCTCGGTTTTTGGGACAACTCCATCGCACTGGCCTAGGTATGTGTCGTACGACATCAGCTCCGAGCCGTTCACCAGCTCTGTAATCTCCACCGACATATAGGCAGGATCGTACTTCTGCAGCACGACTCGGGGTGCGAGGCCAAGCGCCGCCGCGCTGTTGTAGTAGGCCCAGGCGCGATGCTTCGGATAGAATGAGCGGCAGAAGCAATACGCTCGCCCAGTCTTGGCGACGACCTTGAAACTGCTGCTCATGAAACCGCTGCTGATCGCGCTCACCTCCACATCCTGGAGCTCGGGGAGCTCCCGCAGCATGAACCTCCGCACCCACGCCTCGTGCCCGCTTTCGGGCCAGGCCTTTACTGCTGGAGCCGTCGAGAGCAAGCTGCCCATCTTGGCGAACGTGGGCAGACAGGAAAGCAACAGACAGGAGGCAGGATGAGCGAGGCGCGAAAGCGGGGCGTGGAAAGCGAGACCTTGAGCCTTGAGACAAACTGGCTACGGAAGAGCGTGGCCCAACTACTGACGGAGAAGAAAACATGATCGCTGATGCAGACGTCACTGCCGATTCACCGTCGAGCAGAACACAGCAGGCCAGTATACGGCCCAAGACGGCCCAAGAGGCCCCAAAGACCGTCCAAGAGGCCTCCAAGATCGCCTCATGACAGCTCTAGAGGCTACCAAAACGGCCTCAAAAGAGCCCCAAGACGCCCAAGATAGCCTCCAATACGGCCAAGACAACCCCAAGAGACCCCAAGATGGCCGCAATGTTTCCAATACGGCTCACTATGCACCCAATACGGCCGGATGTGGCGTCAATGTGGCCCAAGAGGCCTCCAAGACGGCCCAAGAGGCCTCCAGACGGCCCACAGAGGCCCAAAGACGCCCAAGATGGCCTCAAGACGGCCATGATGGCCCCAAGAGAGCCCAAGATGGCCGCAAGCTGTCTCCAAGACGACCCAAGATGCACCCACGAAGCCTAAGATTGCCTCAAAATGGCCCAAGACAGCCCAAGAGGTCCCTAAGAAGCCTCCAAGGCGGCCAAAGAGGCCTCCAAGACGTCCTCCACGAAGGCCCCAAGATGCCCCAATCATTGATTGCCCTTTGGTGTTTGAAGAATTTAAGCGTTTGCTTATTTTCGGCCTTCCGACGGCTCAAGAGGCCCCCAAGATCGGCCAAGAGGCCCGCAAGATGGTACCGAGAAGGCCCCAAGATACCCAAGAGGCCTCCACGACGCCCAGGATGGCCTCCAAGACGGCCCTGAAGCGCCCCAAAAAGGCTCCAAGACGGCCCAAAGTGGCCCCCAAGGCGGCTTCCGATGGGCCAGGAACGCCCCATGACAGCCAAAGATCCCCCCAAAGCCCCCGAAGGCCCCCACGAGGCCTAAGGAGGCCCCCAAGAGGCCTCAACGAGGCCCCCAGGAAGCTTCCAAGGCGGCCCCAAGAGTGCCCCACGAGGCTCCATTTTCCTCCCTCTCCTCCTCTTCGTCTTGATCCCCCACCTGTTCACCGAAGGGGTTCCACAACGGCTGGGGCACACGTAGTCCGATAACTTGGCAGAGCTCTGGCCACAACGTTCGGCCACTCAGGCGCTTCCAAAAAGGCAGATGGCGGCGGTGATTCGCCGCAGATGTCTTCGATACTTTCCTTGTGTGCCCAAGCCAAAAGCCCCAACACCCCGACATACAATCAATGTTTGCCAATGTGGGCCTCGAACCGTGAGTTCCTGCGCTCTGGAAGTGCAAGCTAGGTGGTGCACCCTATGTTGTACAGACCATGTGGTGCAAGCGATGTGGTGCACGCGATGTGGTGCAAGCTGTATGGTGCACTCTTAAGTGTCGGGGGCGCCGCAGAGTGGGGGTCGCAAATCATGGACATGTGCGCGGACGAGGGGGGGCCATAATGTCGTTCAGCCCATCTGGTGCAACAAGAGACGCCAGCCAGCGCAGCCCGCCAGCCAGTGGGGCTGGCCAGCGAAAGCTGCCAGGGATGGGCCGAAGGGGCAAGGATGCAAGGGTTCGGTGGCAACTCCTGGGAGCCTCCCATACCATCTTGTCGGCTCTTGCGAAACGAAGCCAATCGACGCTAAATCGACGCTGTCTCATCGATCCCCAGACGCTAATCGGCGCTGATCGACGATAAAGACGAAATTGAAAGGGTATACCAGGCTCCCATGATTTGCTACCGAACCTTACTATGCGGGCTGACTGCAGTCACCACCGGCCCTCTTGGCCGTCCTTGAATGTGGCGTCCCCTGCCGCCCCTCCGGCGCGGCAGGGGGCGCCGGCCAGCGCAGGGGGGGCGGCCGCGACATGCGACCGCCGCTCGGAAGAAAACCCGAGGGAGTCCAGCAAAACGGCGCTCGAGGCGGCGACGGGGCGGCGACGGGCGCACCCACCGTGCGACAACAGGGCGATCGACGCTTTCTCCATTGGAAATTGCAAAGAAAAACGCCACCGCGCGGATTTCTTGGATCCGCGCCAGACCCGCCTCTCTGGCGCGCTCCGCGCGCCAGGGGCGCCGCCGAGGGGGGGGCCCAGCACGGATCCAAGAACTCCGCGCGGAGAGCCAAAAGTTTCTGTTTAGGTCGGCATGTCCCCCTACAGAGGGTTTTTCAACGAAAAATTAAAAATACACCAGAAATGCTCCAAAATGGTCAAAACTAATAGGAAAATCGTCCCCAGGCTATTTTTTTGACTGTTTTGGAGCATTCCTCCTGTAGAGGGACAGGCCCGACTTAAGTCTATGGCGTTTTTCCTCCGATCCACGTGCCCCTGCTCACGCCCCGACCCCACGAGGGGGGCCAGAGCGGCGGCATGGACAAGACTCCAGCCTCCAGAGCCAGCCAGGACCGTGTCGAGCTGTCCTCCAGGAAGGTCGACCTCCAACACCTCGAGGCTCACAGCCTCGCGGTGCGAGATAACACTGACTCACGAGCTCGACTTCTCCACGGAGAGGTACAGGCGCTGGCACTGGCCAGCCCCGGCACGGCACCACGTCTTTTTCAACCACGCCCTGCTTCCACTGGCGCCCAGTGGGAGGTAACCGCAGGGGTACAGTCGGTCCGTATCATAATGATGCGCGAGAAGGGTGCAAGAGCCTTGGACGCCCATGTCGAGGCTTCTCGAGCAGGGCGCGGCCGACGAATGTGGCCAAGCATGGACCGAGGAGGCGAGGACGCAAGGGTACCCTTGGGAAGGTTGCCCATCCTTACCATGCGGGTTGACTGTGTGGATCGAGCGTCGACCGTCGAAGCACCAAGAGGACTCGCCCGAGGACTCAGAGAGACGAGGAGGGACTCCCTCCATGAAGACCGGGGGCACCCACCCCGTGGGGCACTCCCACGGCCGTTCTGTCTCTCAGGGCTATCGTTGGGTCGGGCATGTCCTCCTACAGGTGGATTTTAGCTATGCCTCTGGGCTATGGGTCGGGCATGACCTCTCTCAGGGCTATCTTTCGGTCGGGCATATCCGCCTACAGGGTCAAGAACAACAATCAAAACATCATCTCCAGACTGTTTGTTTTCTGACTATTTTTGAATTTTCCTCCTGTAGAGGGACATACCCGACTTAAGGCTATCTTTCTTGGTCGTCTTGGAGCCCTCAAGGGCCGTCTTCGAGCCCGAAAAGAAGCCCGGAAAGGGCTGGACCCCCTGATCAGCTCACCCAGGGGTCGCCCGAGGCCCGGGGGGGGGAGGCCTGATCGGACACGCAACTCGGGGTCCCTGGGGGGGGGAAGTACTGGAGGCCTTCAAAATGAGGTCGGAACAGATGGTGTCGGAGGGTCGCACCCCATCGTCGACACATCATCGATGAATCGGCGACGTTGACGTGGAGAAAATCGGGCACCAAATCGAGCGGCATCGCCGATGCATCGGCGACGCGGCGCGATCCTCCAGCCCCACCTACGCGGACCCCATCTGGGAGGCCCAGAACTATAGGACCTGCCTCATCCCGGGTCTGTGTAAACACTGTTCGTGGATCAGCTGTGACAGAAGGCGCCACATCTTGCTACACCTTACTGCGTGCCACCACGCATCCCAAAGAGCTTATCTTAGAGGAACGACACCAGCCGCATAAACATACACTTTTGGAGCTCCGCGCGGAGCTCAGAAGAATTATGTTGATGCCGATGCTTGCTCCTCGATTTCTGAGGCATCGAAGAGACAGACTCATCGAGAAATGATTGTTTCTCCTTGCTGCCTGCAGCAGAGGCCCGCGGACGAAGCCGGGCGGCTTGCGCTCACGCTCGCGCCCTAGGCCTCCACCCCGAGCTGGCGCCAGAGGGGCGCGGCCGAACACTGCAGGTACTCGTTTGCGGGGTCCTTGAACGCCTGGAAATTGCTGATGCACACTGACGTGACCTTGGATCGAGAATCCCGAAACGGTGTGGTGACGGACCGCGCGGTGACCTCGAAATCCCATCAGACCTCACCGCGCGGCCCGTCGCCGCAGGACTTCAGATGCGCCGGTCGCCCGAGACGTCCTCGGAGAACGACCCGAGTCCCAAAAACGGTGCGGTGACCCCGAATCCCCACTGACTCACCACGCGGTGTAGTCACCACACCGCTTGGGGGGTCCCGACGAGGCCAAGACAGGGAGAACATCGGACCGGGACAAACCCGGGATCTCTGAGATCTGACGGTTCTTGAGGACGGGGCGGGCGTTCTGCAGACGCTCTGAGAGCGCACTGGAACGCTCTGGAACGATTTATCTCTGTCCTAGCCTCTCCAAATGACCTGCCGCATCCGGGCCCAGTCCCGGATCAGCTCGGGCAAGCCAGAGGAAGAGCCTGGCTCGCTGGCAGGTCGTACCGACTCCAGCCACCCCGCAACAAACGCGTCGCCCGCGGTCGTCGTGGGCGCATAAGCGTAGCCAATGGCAGCATCGGCGAACCAGTACGAAATCCCCATATCTCCAAAATCGAGAATGCTGACGCTGACATCTGGGCTCGAGCACTTCTCGGTGCTTCCTTCCCCTGGCCGAGAGGCAACTCTAAAGACCACATTGTTATCGTTGCAATCGTGGTGCGTCAATGTGAGCCTCTCGCACGAGCTCGCTCCGTCTGAGGATTCACCTGCACGAGCGCACGAGTACTTGTCGTGGTGCTGACTCAACAACTCCTCGACCCGCCGCTTCTTGCGTGCCAGAAGCGGCCCAGAGCCCGGCGCGTCGCCGCCCCCGTCGAAGTACGGAAGGTACTTGCGAACGACGGTGGACATGTTGCTGAGGTTCCACTCGAACTCGGAGTCCAGAGCCTCCCAGCATGCCCCTCCTGCGTGAGCCTGACCATCGACTTCTCGGCTTAAGTCGGGAATGTCCCCCTACAGGGGGCTTTTGGACGACAAATGAAGAACACCCCCAAGAATACCCCCAAATGGTCAAACATAGTTAAAAGATCGTCCCCATACGATTTCCTTACCATTTCGGAACACTCCTCCTGCAGAAGAACAGGCCCGACTCAACTCTCGGCGCGACGAGTCCGGCCGCTCGGCGGCCCGAGAGCTGTAGAACTCGTCCAGCGCCCGGGAGACCTCTCCCAGGGCGCGCCCGGTCGCTGCCCACGCCGCCTCCTGGAGCCGCTCGTCCGCCGGGCGGCCCTCCGAGCCGCCCAGCGCGCTGAGCACCTCGCCGTCGACGAAACCAATGGTCGGGGGGGCGCAGAGTGGGGGCAAGGGCAGAGGTTCGGCCGCGCGCCGAGGGGTGCAGAGGGATTCGGAAAATTATCCGGGCGAAAGACCCGTCCATAAGCAATTGTTCGTAACGCGTTGTGGGTGCCGCTTTCGGTGGGGCTCCCTATGGGGACACGAAGCGCTGCCCAGGGTGGGGGAACCGCATGCGACCTGCGCCACTGGGGCCTTCGGTGGAGCTCCCTATGGGGCCACGAAGCGCTGCCCTGGGCGGGGGAAACGCATGCGAGAGCAACCACTGGGGCCTTCGGTGGAGCTCCCTATGGGGCCACGAAGCGCTGCCCAGGGTGGGGGAAACGCATGCGAGAGCAGCCACTGGGGCCTTCGGTGGAGCTCCCTATGGGGCCACGAAGCGCTGCCCAGGGTGGGGGAAACGCATGCGAGAGCAACCACTGGAGCCAGCTCCTATGGGGCCACGAAGCGCTGCCCAGGGTGGGGGAAACGCATGCGAGAGCAACCACTGGGGCCTTCGGTGGAGCTCCCTATGGGGCCACGAAACGCTGCCCAGGGCGGGGGAAACGCATGCGAGAGCAACCACTGGGGCCTTCGGTGGAGCTCCCTATGGGGCCACGAAGCGCTGCCCAGGGTGGGGGAAACGCATGCGAGAGCAACCACTGGGGCCTTCGGTGGAGCTCCCTATGGGGCCACGAAACGCTGCCCAGGGTGGGGGAAACGCATGCGAGAGCAACCACTGGGGCCTTCGGTGGAGCTCCCTATGGGGCTACGAAACGCTGCCCAGGGTGGGGGAAACGCATGCGAGAGCAACCACTGGGGCCTTCGGTGGAGCTCCCTATGGGGCCACGAAACGCTGCCCAGGGTGGGGGAAACGCATGCGAGAGCAACCACTGGGGCCTTCGGTGGAGCTCCCTATGGGGCCACGACGCTGCCCAGGGTGGGGGAAACGCATGCGAGAGCAGCCACTGGGCCTTCGGTGGAGCTCCCTATGGGGCCACGAAGCGCTGCCCAGGGTGGGGGAAACGCATGCGAGAGCAACCACTGGGGCCTTCGGTGGAGCTCCCTATGGGGCCACGAAACGCTGCCCAGGGTGGGGGAAACGCATGCGAGAGCAACCACTGGGGCCTTCGGTGGAGCTTCCTATGGGGCTACGAAGCGCTGCCGAGGGTGGGGGAAACGCATGCGAGAGCAGCCACTGGGGCCTTCGGTGGAGCTCCCTATGGGGCCACGAAACGCTGCCCAGGGTGGGGGAAACGCATGCGAGAGCAACCACTGAGGCCTTCGGTAGGGCTCCCTATGGGGCCACGAAGCGCTGCCCAGGGTGGGGGAAACGCATGCCAGAGCAGCCACTCGGGCCTTCGGTGGAGCCCCCTATGGGGCCACGAAAAGCTGCCCAGGGTGGGGGAAACGCATGCGAGAGCAACCACTGGAGCCTTCGGTGGAGCTCCCTATGGGGCCACGAAACGCTGCCCAGGGTGGGGGAAACGCATGCGAGAGCAACCACTGGGGCCTTCGGTGGAGCTCCCCATGGGGCTACGAAACGTGTGAGAGGTGTGCCGAGAGCAGAGGCAAGGAGGGGGAGGAGGGAGGGGGAGGAGGAGGAGAGGAGAAGGACGCGGGGCGCTGTCTCTTCAAAACGAGGACCCAACACCACAGGATGGTGGGAAAAAACGCCATAGACATAAGCTTTTGGCGCTCCGCGCGGATTTCTTCGATCTGCGCTGGACCCCCTCCTTGGGGTGCGGAGCGCGCCAAGGGCGGCGCCGGAGGCGCCGCCGTGGGGGCCTAGCGCGGATCCAAGAAATTCGTGCGGAACGCCAAAAGATTATGATTATGGCTTGTTTTCTTCTTCGAGGGAGGGGGAAAGCTTCCTAGCAAAGGCGGCCTGACGCCTTCCGGAGAAGGCCAGCGCCTTCTGGCAAGCAGGGGTGCTTCTGGGAAGCCTTTCCCCCTCCCCCTGGCCCCCTCTGCGCGTGGCCAAGGTGGAGTTACAGGAACGCCGCTCCAAGCGGCTCCTGGAGTAGGACGATCTGAGCATCCAGCGGGGTTCGTTCCCGAACCCCACCTTGGGGTACCCCCCCTCCTCCACGAAACCCCGAGCTGAGCCGGGCCAGGAATGCACGGCCGCGGACCCGGATCGACGAGATCTTGCACGAGGCCCTGTCCGAATCGTCGCGGCCCCCCGGCTCGGGAGCCAGACGGGCCGGGCCGCACCCGCTCAAGATCTCCTGCACGCTGCAGCCGCGCCGGTGGCAGAAGTCCATGGCCTGCGTCTGCAATCTGATCAGCGCTTCCGAGTCGCCCCGGTTGCTCAACTTCAGGATCACCTTCAGCGGAGGTGCCTCGCTCGCTGCGGCAGCGTGGCCGTCCGCTGGTGGCGTCCGCTGCCAATCCAGGAGGTAGTTGCGGTCCCGCTCGCTCGCCAGAAACCGTACGAAACTGAAGCGGCCGCCATAGAAATCAACCACCTGTTGCTCCAGCTCAGAGAACGGAGCGTCGGGAGGCTGCAGCTCCGCCATGCAGTCCATGGTGGGATCCGGGCGCTCGCCGGACAGCTTGCTGGCCCCTGGCGACGCAGCCTGTCAACCACTGGTCGCACTGGCGCCTGCAATTGAGAGCCAACAGCAACAGACGTCGGGAGGGGCCAAAGCCAATATGACTACGGTAATCTACGATTAGAACGCAGAGTTTCGAGGTCGTCTTTGCAAAGTTGGCGTGCGCGCGTGAGGTACTGAGGACCGCATGGTTGTCACTTCTCGTGTTCAGTCTCCAGGGCTTCCATGACGGCCAAGACGCTCCAGGAGGCCTCCACCAGCCCTTCCAAGAGGGCCCCAAGAGGCAAGCATCATTGTCTTTCCTTAGGTGCTTGAGGGATGTTGGCTTCTCGCCTTTTCGACAACCCGACGTTCCAAGACGGCCCACAAGTCCTCCAAGCCAACCCCAAAACGACCCCAAAAGGCCTGCAAGAGGGCCCCAAGACGGCCTAAGAGTGCCCCAAGACGGCCCAAGAGGAGCCCAAAAGGACCCAAGAGGGACCCAAGACGGCTCCCAAAGGGGCCCAAGAGAGGGAACACGAATCGAAAGTCCGAGCCTTCCGCCCCAAGAGGGGCCCCAAGGCCCCCAAGAGGCCCCCAAGAGGCTCCCAAGAGACCCCCAAGAGGCCCCAAGAGGCCCCCAAGAGGCTCGAAAGAGGCCCCAAGAGGCCCCCAAACGGCCCCTAAAGAGGCTTCAAAACTGCCTCCAACAGGCCCCCGAGAGACCTCCCACGAGAACACAACGAACACCCAATAGGCTTCATACCAATGGACGGTTTCCCCTGGGGCCGTAGGCGACCCGAGGAGGGGGATGGCGAGAAGGGGGAGGAGGAGGAGGAGGAGGAGGAGGAGGAGGAGGAGGAGGAGGAGGAGGAGGAGGAGGAGGAGAAGGAGGGGAAGGAGAAGAAGGAGAGGAGAAGGGGAAGGAGAGAGGAGGAGAACGGGTCGCCGAAGCCCTTCAGAGAAACCCTCCACATACCTACAACCCAAGCGCGGTCGCGGCCGTAGGCAGCTGGATACCAACGATGGAGAAATTGGAACCATGGGTAACATGGGTCAAAACGAGCAACACACATGGCAGAGGCAACAATGACAAACGTGCACATCCAAGATTGGGCAATTACAACACGTCAAGAGTGGCACGGACATTAAATCCCACCCTCGAACCAGAATGCGTATGGCTGGTGATCCCATGGACTCTATAACCTGATACGACCTGTAATGCCGGACGCAAAGCGGGAATAACCAAATCCAGATGGATTGACGACGCCCGATGTTTTAGTTGTTGCAGCCGGGATGTGATAACATGAACATTCGAGATAGTCTGAACAGTGAGTCAACGAAATATTGCGATACTGCCACATCATATTATGCGGCGCACCACATATGAGTGGGCCGCGCGACTTGTCCAGAATTCCGGCGCTCTGGTGCCGCGCCCACAGCACCCTAGACGGTGGCGGTGCGTGGGATTGCGGGTGTGCTACCTAGTGTTAAAGCGGGCACGTCCCTCTGCAGGAGGAATATCCAACAAATAATCAAGAAAACCGCAGCCCCGACCGCGGCCGGGAAAGGAAAACCACCGCGAAAAATTCTCGATAGTTTCCCCCTTCCAGCCGCGGCCGCAGCCGCAGCCGCGGCTGGGGCTGGAAGAGTAAGAGGAAAACCACCTCGAGAAATTCGCGATGGGCACGCTCCGGCTGGCAGCTGCTCAAGGCGAAGCCGCCGACAGCCCTGTCAGCGAAGCTCCCGACGTGACCGAGCATGAGGGGCAATGCAGCGTCACCGCACGTGGGGAAACCAAAAGGTACCGATACCGCCACTCCCTGGGCCTTTCCCGGGGTGCGTTCTGACCAGGATTTCGAGGCGAATCCAGCGGTGGCGACGAGAGCCGCCCAGGACGCCCCAAAAGGGGAAAACGAGGGGAGGGTAGAGGTATGGGTACTTTTCCTCCTCTGAGCACGCGGGTCCTGCTTCGAAGAATGCGGCCTCGGGACACGCGGCCAGGGCTGACCCTGCGGGCAACGCCCCATCGTCAGTGCCACCACTCCATCAGCAGCCCTTTCAGGCCTATACTACTGCGGCTCGGGGTCGCTCGCAGAGGTGTCCAGCTCCGAGTCGATGTCCACCTCGGGGGCCGACGACGGCATCCGGTGCAGTGCTCCTCCCTGCTCTTCGCCCCTCCTCCTTCTCCTGCTGCATAAGGGCGAAAAGGATTACACCAAAGAGAAGCCCCAGGGAGGGAGAAAACTTCCACCAAATCGGTTTTGCTGAAGAGATCGACCGGGAACCCTGGAGCCTGGGAGCCCAGAGCCCACCGAAATCGGTCCAGAACCCATGACCGGGAACCCGGGAACCCAGCCTGCTACCAAAATCGGCGGGAAACTTTCGTCAAACCTTTCAATTTCGGACTCCTTCAGTGCAATCACTGATTGGGGAAAAGTGGATGCCATGGCACGAAGTGCCGAACGTTCATCTTCGCGCCCCCTCTCCGCCGCCCTGGCGAGGGGCCTCTCTCTCTCTCTCTTGTGCGCGGAGGGCGTCCTCTGTGTGCTCGCGCCCCCGTGTGGGGCCTATAATTGCATTCTTGGTGGCCTATCAAAGACCCAAAATCGCATTTTCGCGACAAAATGTTAACAACATGGCGTTGTGACGCTGCGCAAGAAGCGCGTGCGAAATGAATTTCAAATGTTGAAATCATGTTTGGGTGATTCTTCAGTTTCGGATGCCACGCGTCGTTTGATTCACGCGCGAACATGCGCAATATGGCAAATGCGCAAATCCCAAGCGGCGGGTAGACGGGGCGAACTCGTTTATTGAACGGTTCGCTCTTAAGGTTGTTTTTCGGCCGAATCGCAGGTAAACCGCTGAACTTGCGGCGTGAGCCCGCGTGCGATTCTTGCACCAGTCGTTGGTTGCTGCGCTTGGCGCGCGCTTCAATGGCGAATACGACCCATTCGTGAATATGCAACCGCTGCAAATCTTCTGCGGGGGCCTATCACGCACGCCCCAGGGCAGGCACCACCCACGCCGTTGGGAAGCTTGCACAGAACGGCAGCGCTGCGTTCGGGGGGGGGGGGGGCACGAAGTGAGCCAGCGATTTGCCCACAATGTCTTGGCGAGCAGTTCTCTGCCAGCCAATTGACCTCCATGCGCCATCTCTGCCGCGGCGCGCGATGGGCAGCGCGGGGGCGCGCAAAGCCATAGCAACCAGCACGATTCATGGCGCAATACAACGCCGCGACACCGCGGCGCAAACGTGCCACCGCAGTCATTTGCCATCCGCCGTGCCCTTCCCGAGTGGGAAATGGCCAGCCTGCGCGTGGTGCGCTTCGAAATGCCTGACACGTACAAGCCTTGCGTGGTCGCCACAATCGGGTCGCCACAGCGCTTCTCCTGGCGTTGCTGCTAACTGGCGCGCCCTCTCGGAGGATGTGCGCGCCGTTCGCGCGCGTTGGCGCGGCTATCGCGCGCGGCAATTGCCCGCCCTGCGGGCTTGATAGTCGATGGGCGCGTGGCGCCGTGCTATCGTATCACGCTGTGCGTTGTGCAATCGCGAACCTTGAACCCAAACAGCGCAAGCACGACGGCGCAATTCGCCACAATTGCGCGTGCGCCCGCGTGCGAATTTGAGCATATATTGTTAGGCGACTCAAGGGCGCCCGTTGGCAGCAATGTGAGGTTCGGCAGTGCACGTGAGCATGGCGCGCCCATCGTTGCGCGTAGTGGGCGTCGGCGCGAAGAGCGCTGCACTTTCGGCAGCGCGAGGGTTAGCGAAGTCAAAAAATGGAGGCGGGAGGTGGATGGGGGGCAAGAAGGACGCGAGGGGAGAAGGGGAGGAGGAGGAGGAGGAGGAGGAGGAGGAGGCGGAGCAGGATGACGAAGGCGAGGACGAGTTGGCTCAAGACGACCTCACATTTCCTCTGAGAGGTCGCGGGCGCTCCCCTCTGCAGCCGGATCCTCCAGCGAGCGCTGGAAAGAATTGTCAGCGCAACTCTGCGCGGCACCAGGGACTCGCGAGACCACCTGCGAGCGCAGCCCCTGCCTGAAACAGTCTGTCGGGATGCTCCCGAGCAACTTGGACGGCGCGAGGTCGTGGCCAACCATGGCCTTGTGGGCGCCCACCAGGGAGGTCCTGGCCCTCGCTGCGTCGGCGGCCTTGATCCCGTGCCAAGATTTAACAGCCTGGCCCCGAAACATCACCTGGAAGGCCTTGGCGATCGCCTCCTTCCCCTGCTGCACCGCACAGGCGCCCGGCGCGATTCGACCCCAGCTGGTTGACCGCCTCGCTCTGAGAGCAGGACAGAACGAGCACCGGGAGGAACTCCTCATCCTTCAACTCCCCAATCCCCCCTCATCGGTCCTCCGCCCTCAACCCTCCTCCTTCCTCCGTCCACCCTCATCCCTCGTCCAATCGCTCCTCTCCTCTCCTCCTTTCCCTCCGACCTCCTCCCGCCCCCTCCCCGCTCTTCCCCTTCGCCTCCTCAGCATCATCCTTCCCTCCTCCCTCCTCCCTCCTCCCTCCTCCCTCCTCCTCCTCCTCCTCCTCCTCCTCCTCCTCCTCCTCCTCCTCCTCCTTTTCCCGCCCCCCCATCCATCCTCCCCTCCCACTCCTGCGCCCGCCCCACGCCTCCCCCGTCTTCTGTCCTCCTTTCAAACCCTCCGACGTTTGGCGCGAGGCAGGCCACCTTGACCGCGCAAATGGTCGCTTTGTCCATGTCTTCGAAGTCGTAGCCCGCAATCGCGTTGCCGGAAGCTTGAGGATAGTGGCGAAGTCGCTCGCAGAGTCGACGTCGCGCATAAACCTCTCCGCGCCGTCGGAACGCGAAGGCTGCCATTGCCCTGTCGAGCTGCCCCGCGTTCCCACTCGCGATCTCCAAGTGCCTCGACATCAAAGCGCTGCGCTGCACTGAGTGCGTCTGGGCCGACTGCGCGGCCGAAGCGTGCAACTCCTTGAGCATCGTGCCATCCGCGCAAGGTTCCGTGACCTTGTCGAACTGCTTGAGCGCGCGGCCTAGAGCCACCATCTTCGCCTCGAAGTCGCGCTGTCCGGCGAGCGCGCCCGCGCCGTTGACGTCGCCCCCCGCCCCCGTGATCGCGCCGAGCAGCTCGGCGATCGAACCCAGGAGCGTCGCGCGCCCCGTCGCCCATGCAGAGCTGGGCGCGTCGACGCGGCCCATGGCCCCCTTCAGAAGAGTCGCCAAATGCTCCGCATCGGCCAGGATCGCATCGAAGGGCCTGGTAATGATAGCCTCGATGATGCCCGCCGCCTCCATGGAGATGGCAGCGTTGACCCCATTTGCCGTCTGCAGCGGCCTTCGCCATCTTGCCGAGGGTGTTGCGCACGTCCTCTGGCGAGCGCGCCTCGCCCCTGAATGTCTCGATGGAGGCGCCCGCTTTCTTCGCCGACGCCTCCGCCATCGAAGCCGCCTCGGCCGTCTGGACGGCCCCCCTCGCCGTCGCCGCCTTGTCCTCGAGGGGCATCGCGCGGGCGAGCAACTGCGCCAACTCCAGGTACTTCTGAACGAGCGCATTCGGATTCGACTCGCCCGTCTCGTCGCCGAGCCCACTCTGGGGAAGGGCCTCCGCGTGCTTCATGAACGCATTCAAGATGGCGATGGACAACTCCCGCGCGCGGTCGTTCCCGATCTCCTTCTCGTAGCACTCGTACTTCGTTGCAGCATCCGCCAAAACATCAGCCCCCTCAGAGGAAGGGCCCTGGCCGACTCCGCCCGCGGCCAAACTGCGCAGTGAAATGTCTGGGCAGAAATGCCCGCGCACTTTCGCGGCCCCTTTGAGGGCGCTCACCTTTTGCTGCCAGGGCTCGCTCTGCGAACGGGCCCTCGCCGCCAAGCTCCAGATGTCAGCGTCGTTGGACTTGGCGTCGGCCTGCGCGAACAAGTCGACGTCCTCGGAGATGCGCGGCGGCGTCGCATCTGGGAGCTTGCGCAAGCCCAGCAGAGTCATCACGTTGTAGAGTCGCTCGCAGTCTTTGAGGGCACGGGCGCAGGCGGGGCCAATCCCGGCCGTCTCAGCCCCCTCAGGGGGCGCTAAGTACTTGGGGCACTCAGCCGCGACATAGAAGACGGCAGTCTCCGCTTCTTCGCCCTCTTGCAGCCAGTTCACAATGCTGTTGAGCCACGCCTCTGCCAGGAAGTCGCTGGTGCGCTGGGCGTCGGTCAGGGCGCTCTTCCGAATCTTCTGCATCGTCACGTTGGGCACCCTGGGCCACGATCCAGCGTCGCCCCGAACCTTGAGGAAGGGGGGCGAGGAAGCAAGCGCAATTCAGCCCCTCCCCTGGCCGAAGGTCTCCGCGGAGGGAGGAAGTCTTGTCAGGCTGTGCTCTGCGCGCGGGTCGCGTCCACTGCATGGCCCCGACGGCGACCCCCAGTGCGCGTTGAGGGTCGCCGTCGGGCCATGGTCTTGTCCATTGCATGCCTGTTTTTCTTTCCCCCCTCAAGCCCGTCGGCGGATTCGCCCGCCGCAGAGGGCGCGCGCGGGCTGCGCGGCACCGCGCGGGCCCAACGTGTAAGGGGGGGGGCGCTGAGGAAGAGGAGGAGGAGGAGGCGACCACAGAGAGGCTTTGGGTCACCATTTGTCCCTACGAAACATTATGTTACAATGTGCCCCCCCTCGGGTGCCCCGGGGCATCGAACGCGCGCGGGCACAATCATCGACGCGATGGGGAGGATGGGGTCGGGAGAGGGCGAGGAGGAGGAGAGCGCGCGCGCTTGTTGCGCAACCCTCTACCTCGAGCACGTCGCCCAACGTCTCCAAGGCACGCCCTTGGCCAGGCGACTTCCTGATATCAGCCCCGAGCTCCTGCACCTCGAAGTTGAGCAATGAAATCTGCGTGAAGGCGGGCCACTCGATCTCGCGGGCGTTCAGAGCATCAATGATGATATTCTTCCGTTCGCACGTCAATCGCTGAAGGTTGCATGGCCAAAACTCGCGGCACATCTCGATCATTTGCATGTGCTGCCCAGCGCTGTCGCGTTGATGCGGGCCACGGTCCTTCGCGTTCTTGATGATCTTGAGCTGGCAGAGCCCCCTCTTCATCTGGCCGCCCAGCAACGCGTCCGCGACGGGGCTCCTGTCGATCCAGTGCTTGGCCGTCCCATGCTTTTCC